TTGTTCAGGCTCATCTGAAACTCAATCCGTTTCCAATTTGCTAACAATTTAAATGATAACAATCAAATTAACCGTTAATTTTATACAAAAACAAAATGATTACAGGTAATCAATATTATCGTCAATGTTTCATTGATTAATTGTGATCTAGATTTTGTTTACCGTTTATTTTTCCCGCGATTTAAATTGTTGTTGTGAAACTTTTTCATTGAATAATCAGTTAGTTGATTGTTCAATTGATTGATTTTGATTAATTTTGTGATAATTATCACCTTTCCAAATCAAAATCTAACCTTAATTAACGACAAAATCAACAAGTTAATCCAATAGTAATTTATGATTTTAATGTTACAATTAACTTTTACTTTTTTCTCCTGATAGTTAATTATAATTTACCACTAGATTGGTTCAACTGTTAATCAACAATCAAAGTCCCAATAATATGATTTACTAATTGTCAGTTTACTACAATGTATACATAATACGTTAATCATGAAAACGGATCAGGTAAATTAACATAATCGCAATTAATTTATGACGATTAACAAAAAAATCATCAAATTAAGAAGAAAAATTTATTAATTTTATCGGAAAAATTGGAAATTAGTTAATCACTGATGGTTTCCTTTGCCTTATAAACACAATTTAGCCCTGGGATATATTGCTCTTAATCACAATTAACTGTTAATTTACATTAAATATTTTCTCTCTTCTACATTAGTTAATTTAATTGCCACTACAATTAACCAACAATTGGACAGTTAAAACATTTCCTTTCCGATGAAAATTTTTGATAAACTTTTCTTTTTTTTCTTACATTTGATTTGCTGTTAATTACAATCATTAAAAAACGTTGATTGTTTAACCCTAAATTAGTTAGTTGAGGCTCAAAGTTAATTGTGATCAAATACACAACCAAAATTTAACCTTCACAATTAAATAACAGTTATACAATTTGACCTTAATCTCCCTTTCAATTTTTTTACACCAAATAAATGTAATCAACAAATTGTGATCACAATGATTGTTGCAAAGTGAATTAAACACAATTAAATCTAATCATCATCGACATCATCATCATCATCATAGTCATTTACTTCATCTAATTGGTTTGGTAAATGATGTTATTATCACTGTTAACATGATTATTATTATTATCGTTGTTGTTATTAACTGTTGGTGACCAGAAGCAATTGGTCATTAATCATGTAACTGTCCAGTTTTCTGTAGTTAAATTGTTGTTAAATCCATTGATTGTTTACAATCAACAACATTGAAAGTTAATTAATCATTAATTTACTTTCCTCTCTCTCTCAATATCCTTATCTAGTTGCTGAATTAACTGAATTGAAATGAAAAGTTCAATCTTAATCTAATTGTTGATTAGCCTCAAGTCAGATTAATTTCAATTATCACAATCAAAATTTATTATCAAATAATTTTCTACTCCATTATATCAATATATTTAATCACGATTAAGTAATTTTAAATTTGATTAACCGGAAACAATAACAAAACTTTTAATTAATTAATATTTTCCCTAATTATCTTAAATTGTTGCTGTTCGTCAATTTAATTGTAATTAGCTGAACAATTTTAACTCTGATCAACTTTACGATATTTGAAATAATTGATTTTGATTTGTTTTTTCCTAATTCTAATTAATTATTACAATTCCATCTAGATTATTATTAATATGATTCGAGTTGATTAACTGCTTCACAATTTGATCTTAATTACATTTCTCTTTCTCAATTGATAAGGTTAATTGTAATCTCGATTTGTTTGTTAAAGTTTTTGTATTTTTCCAACAATTAGCATGATTAAATGATAGTGATTAAGATTAAGATAATCACATTGATCATGATACAGTTTTGTTTTTCATTAATTATTGTCTTATCATTGACTTGATGGTTAATTTGATTTGGTTATCTTGTTAATTGTTAATCAACCAGAAAAAAAAATCATGTAAACACTTTTTTTTGTTGTTGATCAACTATTGATATAATTAAACGATAATTAATCACAGACAATTACGGAAGTGTCTCTTTAATTTGATTTGATTAACACTGATTAGTTTTAGCCATCTAATCATCCCAATGATAATCAACCAATTTCAATATGAACCAAATTGTGACAAGTAAATTGATTAGAAATGGTGATCAGAGACCAACAACAACAATTAACTTTAACGATTAATCAAGATTTCTAGATTTGTTGAAAAACCATCAACAATTAACAAATTGCCATCTTATAATAATCTTTATGAGATGTTGAAATCTTAATTGTTATTCAAAAGAAAACAATTTTTTTTTTGTTACATTCAAATGATAACTGGATTAACTTAATTAAATTAATATAATTTAATGTTAACCTGTGAGCTGAATAATAAATTGTTGATTTTAAAGATTTGTTTCAAAGAGCCTTAATTGTTGATACAATTAAACATCTTACACTAAGATTATCTAACAATTAAAAATGATTACCTTGAATAGTTAACAGTTAACTTTAATTGTGACCATTTAAATTGTTCCCAATCAACATAATAATCTAATTTGTTTTCAATGAAATGTCATGAAAAAAAAAAAATTTGTAAACAGTTACGTTGATTGTTGGATTCAGACAAATCAATTGGATTGATCTAATTGTGAATTATTTTCTGTATTCAAATAAAGTTCATGTTAATCATTGAGTTTAACGATTAATGATTAATTATGTGTTGATTAGATTTCTCATCAGGATTTTGATTAACGTTGATTCAGTTAACACTAATCAACTCAGTTGGTTAGCAATTTAGTTTATCTTTTATTTAATTTTTTTTCTAATCTCACCAACAGTCAACAATCAGACAATTTACCATTTAAATCAATTGATTAACGGAATTGACAACTTGACCACAATTTCCGGTTGATCACAATTAGTTTCTGTTGGAAATTATTAATCATTCATGTTGAACAAACTTTTCAACTTAATTACTAAATCGAAGCTAATTAGTCAGGATATTAACTCAAGTAGTTCAGGGGAAATGGTTGAAAACTCAATGAGATGAAAGGTAAAGTTCATCAGACTAGTTTCTCATCTTCTAAGGTGAATGGTCAGTCAGCTCTTGACCCCCAGGAAATGATTCAGTGGACTGAAAAGTTCATATCTCTCAACTGAATTTACGAAAACTCGATTCCAATTGTACCGTTATTTTTATTTCGACCAATAAAAAAAATCGATCCTCATTATTATTGATCGAATATCAATTTGTCGACAAAAATTCTGTTAAAATAATTAATAATTCTGATGGAAATCAAGATGATTATCTAATCATGATTATATCAGTTAAATCATGATGATCATAAACTATTCAATTTTCACACAATTTAAACTAAATCAAATCGTTCGTATGCTTGAACATGAATCAACCATCTAATTATTATTTCCAATAAAATAATCTTAATCATGTTCATCTTAATGAGGATGATGATGATCATCTCAATGAATATTAATACAATTCATTTAATCAGTTAATTAAATTCACCAACAATCATTCATTTCTCATAATCATTAAAATGGATTTTTTTTTCTTCTTCTTTCAAGTAACTGGATCAATCTAATTATACATCTAATCTTAATCCAATTGAGTTAACCCGATAGATGTTTCAACTTTAAATCCAGTGCTGAGGTTTTATTGGATTATCATTGGTTTTAAAATGATAATATTATGTCTTGGAAACTTTTCTTAATCAGTTTTATTTGTTGTTGATTAACTGTTGATTGAAATTACTGATGACAATTAAACTTTATCATATCAACCATTTGATAAACATAACATTTGATTACCCGACAATATATAAGTTAACAATTAAGGTTAACCTCAAGAAAGTTAATTATTTACAGTTATCTTTAAATAACGGTAACGAAATGACAACATTGATTAATCAGAATGATAACAATATAATTAACTGATTTTCCATCATTTTGGAAACTTTGATTGTTTTTCTGTTAGTTAATCTTTTATTTTCTTCTAATTGTAATTATTTTCTTCTTATATTATTAATCGTGATGAATGGTGAACTATCAGAATAATAGAATTGTAATAAAAATATTTGTTATTATTTCGTTAACTTCGTGGTAACTATTTTTGGGAACAATTTAGTTATAACGGTAAATCCCTTTGACGAGAATTTGTTAATCGTTACTCTCCCTTGGAACTTGAGTTCTCATCATTATCATCATTATCATCATCATCATCATCATCTTGTTGATCACCTTTTCCACCTCAAGTAATTAAGTATCAACAGTAATTGATAGTTGATGTTCAAGTAAGAAGATGAAGATGATTGATCATGAATTTCATGGTAAAAGATAATCATACCAATCAAAGTTCATCTCTTTAATTGTTTTCTTCAGGGTATTCAAACTTTTCCACCTTTGGACATGACTGAATACATCGTTCTCTCGTTTGTCAACATCGCGAAAAAATTTCTAATGGTCAGTATATTTACGTAAATCAATCAGCTGGTCAGTGGTAATTGAGGAGAGGAAAAAAAAATGGAAAATTAATCAAGATGAAAAACTAAACTTTCTATTCATTAACATTGAACTTTTCAGTTGATATTCATCCTCTTTATTTCATCATTTCCGTCACCTTTTTCACCACGATGACCATTGTCCGAATCGCAATTAGTTAACTTGTAACAAATTAACGGTTTAATCAATGTCATAATGGTTCTCATTGACTCTATCATTTTAATAAGTTAATGGTTTTCACTTAAATCACTCTAAAGATATGGTTCATTTTCCCACAAGCTTTTCAGTTGCTTTGAGTATTAATTTGAGTGAGAAAACAAAAGTTTCTGATGAAAACATTGATATATGAAACTGACCATTAACTGACCATTAAAACGAGACTTGAATAACCATAGTTTCAAATTGTCCTCTAATCGTTTCAACGTTAATCATGAAGCGAAATCAAAGTTGTGATAAACAATCAAACAACAAACGCAAAACGATACAAAGTACATGTTAAAGTTTAATTGTTCTCGATGATTATTTAAATTGTAATTGAAAATGTTATCGTATTAAACATTGAATCAAAGTAATTTGATCAAGTTTAAATTTAACAATTGTCATTAACTTTTATCTTGTTGGCCTTAATCATATATATATAAATTAATAATCGTTAGAGTTAATATATAATCAATACAAACAATTATCATGCTTCTTTGGTGAAAATTGCACATTAATGTCGAGGATTAATTGTCCAGAAAAAAAAAGTTAATAACAATGTAAACAATTAAGAAAGGAAAAGTTTCCAATTGAATTAAACAATCAAAGGTAAAATTTTGATTAAAGAATAGAGAGAAATTAAGTTGTCGCTTTTTACAGTTAATTGTGTTTCTCTTTTTCTTTCAATTAGTTAAAACATGTTCAATTTATTTGTGATGTTTAATTGTCACATTTCAATCAATCATTTTAATCAGAATATGAGTCCAGTTCATATTTATGTATATTGTAATTACAACAATTATATTACTTTGAAGTAATTAGACTAATCTGTAAGATTAAAAGATTAGCCTATTATATTGTGTTTTGTTGTAATATTACAATTGTTGTTGATTGATTGGGAATGTGAATTAACTAATCACAATTACAATATATATGTATTTATATTAAATATGTATAAGCAAAAGGGATATTGGTTGAGAGGGTAAAGAGTAATTAAGATAAAATTAAATTTACATTCAATAGTCGTTAAGTTCAATTGTCTTGGTAATTGAATTTAACTCAATTAAGATTCTGTTTGATTTTTCTGTACAACAATTAAACAGAAAAAGAGAGTACAGTTAAGAGATGATGAAGGAAGAAAAAAAAGAAACAAATTATCATTTCTTCATGTGGAAATTGAATAAAAATTGTTTCAACTTCATGAGTTCAATTCCCAAACAATCAGGTGAGATCGATCACCTTTCGATAATGAACTTGCTTCATCTTCAGGATTCAATCGGAAATCAATGTAACCTTCACCTCCGCTCATGATTAAATTTTTGGACATTATGAAAAATTTAACTGAATCTTTGTGTCCATGGTAAGATAATTGATTTTGTGACGGATTACATTTGGGAATGAAAGTGGCAATCGAAATGGGACCAGAGTCACTTTCAGAGACTAGGGTGGTTGTAGATGATGTTGTTGTTGTACTCGAATCATTTTGACCACCACCAGTGGATTTATGTGAATTGCTGGTTAATCCATTACCAGAGGTACTTGAAATTGATCCACCGTTGGTTGAATTAACTTTATCACAGGGTATACTGAGGATAACACCGTTACCTGTTCCTATCCAGAGGCGATTGTTACTCGCTTTAAGTGCCGTTACTCTGATGAAACTGAAAGCTTTCGAGGATAACATTTTGGACACGTAGGGTTCAATATCGACATCTTGAAGATGCTGGTATGGTTTAAGTGCTGAATAAAGACGTAACGTTGAATCTAAACGGATACTGCACCAAACACCGTCACCCATTGCTGCAAGTTGACGGACTTGTGTTTCTTTACGAGGATGGACAGTTAAAGTGTGAATGATTTTCAATCCATTTGGGTCAAGAATATGAACCATGTTACGATATCCAAGCCATACACAAGTTTTAGTTACTTCCATACATCGGATGCTATAAGAAGCGGTGGTCGGAGGATTAGATGAACCAGGGGAAGAGGTTCCTGGAGTTGTATTCTTATTAGAGTTATCAGCTGATAGTTGATTTGTTTGACTCATATCGATAATCAGATATTTGGTAAAATCCCAATGACCATTCGTTGGTGAGCGTACAAATATACAACACTGACCATTAGCTAGGGCAACAAATACACGACCTCTAAAATGGACAATGTGAAGAATTGAATCAGGAAGTTTAACACTATAAATACAATGAGACCATTGAGCGAGACCTGAGTGAACATAAAGAACACAATTCTGTCCTCCAAGCCACATTGTCGGTAAACATGTTGACATTGGTTGGTAAACTGTCACAGTCGATGCTTGATTATCTCCAGGAGCGGATGGTGAAGGTGGTTCAGTATAAGCGACATAATCGGTTAACTTTTCGAGCTGTGGATTCTTAGAAATTTCCTCTTTGGGTAATAGATCATCTTTATCGTCTTCAAAGGTTACTTTTAATGCATCTTTCGCTTGTACTGTTTCAATCTTTTCGTTAAATTGAGATGATGATGATGATTGTTGTTGCTGAGGTGAATTTACCTCCACCAATTTAACATTGTCCAAATCAATTCCGTCAAATCCATAAAGGTCATTATTTTTAGCACCAGGAACCGATGCAACACAGAGTAGGTGAGTTTTCACAGTAAATGAGTCCAAAAATTCACTTGGATTATTTTTTATATTCACTATACTAACTTTACTCTTTGAATGGCTCACGCTACAGATCCAAGCAAAAGTCGATAACTTTTTGGCATCAGGAAAATCACCTTGTTCAATCATCGCTACACCCAACTCTTTTTCTAGGTCTGCGATTGCAGTTATTGAAACTTTCTCCTTGGGAATATCTTCACTTGTTGTTTGGTCACCTGATTGTGTTAAAGGGTTTTGGCTTTCGGTGAATCCCGCTTCACCTCCTGTTAGATCAACAGCAGCAGCGCACCAAATTTTCAGACCCACATCGTCATTGCTCAATGGTCGACAGTAAATTGGTACCGGAACCGAGGCATGTCGTAGTCCAAGGGTGGTTATATATGATCCACATTCGGTTGATCCTTCATTGGTACCTTCTTTACCGCTACCAGCGATAGACCAACCATATGCCATTATACGATCTCCGTTGGTTCGAGGAACATGAGCACGAACAGCTTTCAATGATCGAGCTCGTTCACTTGAAATATCCGAATCCATGAGAAGTAAAAAGTCACCCGAATGTTGTGCTCGTGATCGTCTTTTCATAGCCTCAAACGCGGGTGTAACTTGATCGGGATTAGAAGCACCATAACGAATAGCAGTCGATCGAATAGGACTTTTGTTACCTTCTTTAGTTAAATTTGAAGCACCAGAGTTATTGAAGATATTCAAACTACTAAAACTGTGAAAATAATTCAAAAAGAATAAGAAAAAAAAACAATTAGTCAATTGATCATAATATAAAATTAGAACACGATTTTGATTAGTAAGTTAAGACCAAGTGATACCTGGAAAAATTTCTTCCACTTTTTTTTGGCAGCGTTAATAGAGATTAAGAGTTAAGAATTAGATTATTATTCAAGAGGGTTAATTAGCGAGTTAACTGAACAGGGTTAATATCTTTGAGTTAATTGTTGAAATTCAAATTCTACTTACAATTTCCAAATGACAGACTTTTTCTCTCCCTCTGTTTTACTGGCTCTGATAAGTTCTGTCCATCTTATGGCTTCTTGTAGTTCGATGTATCTCTCTTTATATTGATTTCTTTCCATTAGAACTCGAGCCATTTCCATTCTAGTGAATCGCTTACGTTGAGCCAATGGAGTTCCCTCTTCATCATCCTGATAGAACAATAAAACAAACGATAAAACGAAAGATTAAATTTCCATTGGAATCAAAAAGTAAACTCAACAATTAGATAATGAAACACTGATGAAGTAATAGCTAATTATCACAACAGAATTGTTGTGATGAGAAACACTTATACTGTTTATGAGACAAAAGCTTGAGAGAAAAAATTCAGTTTCATTATCTAATATGTAAATTGATCCAATTATGACGAGCGTTGATATTGACCTGAGGTTGAGCGGCTGCCTTTTGTTTCATCTCAATCAATTCCTCTTTCGTTTTCTTCATCTCATCCTCTAATTGTGAAATACGAGATTTAAGTTTATCTTTAACCGCAGTTAATTGTTGAACCTCTTCTCTTGCCATAGTTAAATCACTTTGAAGTTCATCAACTTTGGCAATCAAATCATCTTTAACAATATTCAATGCATTCTTGGTTGCCAATAATTCATCATTCTCCCGGATAAGATTTTGAACTTCTTTCTCCATTCCTAATGAATAAACAATAAACAAAAACAATCAATTAGTGTCATGAAAGTTAATTAAAATGATTACAAGTCTACATTTGATTGTTTAAAATCAACAATTATATGAATTGAAACACTTACCAAAAAAGTTATCGGTAACTGTAAATCATGATTATATCAGAATCGATAAGAAAATAGAAAAGATATTAAAAATGATTAGTGATTGGTAAGAAAAAAAAATCAAGATCAATTGATTGTTAAGTGTGTATAATATTAGACTCGATGATTGACAAATAATATCATGAAAAAAATTCATTTCAAGATTAATTTAATCTCTAATCAGACAGAAAATTAGGTTAATCAACTGTAACCAGAGTTTGTCTGTAATTTAAGTTATCAAACTGATTGAAACAAATGAAGAGAAAATAATTTTCCTAATCTGTCATCGGATTAAATGTCAATAATTAGATTGAACAAAACAAAAACATGATAACGTGTAAAATTAAAAACAAAAAGCAAATCAAGAGAGATGATGATTAAGCTAATTGTTGTTAATAATAATTATATAGCATTTGATAACAAGCACAAGGGCAAATCAAGCTGAAAATGATAATAATAATCCATCATACCAGAAGATGCATATCTATCCTGATTTGAGAGTCGACCTGATGAAATTGTTATGAGAGAGAAAAAAAAAGTAAAATGAAAAAGAAAAACAAAAATATAAGTAATTATAAAAAACAATAGAACAATAATTAACGAGATATTGTATTGAGATGATGAATCGTTGGTGAGAGAGAGAGAGAGATGATGATAATGATGATGATTGGTTGCTATTTGTTAGATACCTGAGTGAGTGTCTCTTTCCTTTTCACGATCACGATCACGATCACGGGGAATTTCGTCAACCTCTTCGATAATGGAAGCATCTTCTAAGGAAAGGTCAGTGTCAACCCAAGCTTGTCGTGGAATAATCGTTGTTGAGGTCAAACTTTTGGTTGGAACATTTAATTCTACATCCTCACTTGGACTAGAATATGATTCAACGTCAGATTTTTTATTCATCGTTGCTTTATAATTAGTCGATGGTCCGATGTTGGTCGAACCAGAGGAATTAAGTCCATCATCGCTTCCGATTAGTATTTTCATTCTTTCCATAAGATCACAGTGACTTCGAAGTAGTTCATTATATCGAGTATGAACCTTGGTATTTTCTGTCTTCAATTCTTGTTCCTTTTCTTCCAACCTTGAGGCTAAAACGGAAATAAAGAGAAGAGAGAGAGAGAGAGAGAGAGAGAGATTAATTCAATTAGAAAAAATGTAGAATAAACAATTAGAGGAATGGTATTAATTTAGGGAAAACGATTCACTTCCGTTAAGAAAATAAAACGATCAGAGATGAATAATAATTGTGATCACAGAATCTGAACATCGATAACATGGTAAAGAACATGGTTGGAAAAAAGAATAATGATAAATGAAAATTCAGATGATGTTGAGCTTGAGAAAATCTGTTAAATTGATTGTCAACAACTCGAAGGTTGAACCTTGTCATTGTTAAATGGGTTCTTTCAACAATACCATTTGATTTCTTTTCTATTCTCAGAACATATTGAAATAGATAAATCAGTAACTGATACGAATTCTGTTTTTGTTTCTTCATCAGTTTATACTTGATTGTGTTCAGTTTCGAGAGAAAAATTCAACTCAACTAGAATAATAAAAGAATAGGTTATCTCATCTAAGGAGAGACAAATAAAAGTGATAGAAAAGAAAATGAGAAAGGAATAGAAAAGAAGTGCAAACTAATTGTCCTAATCAATGAAATAGTGTTCCAGGATCAAGAGTTGGTTGTATTCCATTAGAATTATCATCACTAAAGGATTGAGATCACTAAGAGAGGAAAAGGAGAGGGAGAGTTGACTAAAAACCTCCAGGCAAATTGTTGTTTACAATTTCGTTGGAAAAGTGTAGATACGAAAAACTATTGAACAAACAATTGATACGCAAAGTGAAGAGATTTGCATTAATGATCAGCCCGGGAACTTTGTCTATTCAAGAATTACTATGAAAACAATTGATCGAAATTCTGAAAACGATGAAGTGAATGATGAAAGTTGTGAGTAGGTCACAATAACCAGTTACAAGTGGGTGTTGGTCAAAGGCTTTTGGATGAAACTCTTACCATGATCTGATGAATTTTTTGATTTCAATTCCAACATTTTAACAATATTTTCAAGGGAATTGATCTTTTGAGCATATTGTTGTTTCTCCTCTTCCGATTGAAATTCATATTCCAGGAGCTTTTGTTCAATCCTTTTTTTGATTGCTTTTTCCTTGTCAAAAGCTGATACTAATTGTTCATTATCGTCTTTACATAATTCCAGTTCAACTTGTAATTGTTGTGATTCAATTATGGCAATATCCAATGATTCGAGAACATTAACAATTAATGGCATCAATCCACCAACAATTTCATCATCATCTGAAAATCTATTGATTATCTTTTGAAGTTCAGTATAAATTTGTGATGCTAAATTTTGTACTCTTTCAGAGACAACATGACTTGTAGGAGATTCTAATTGCCGTTGACCAGAAATTGGACCAAGAACCTCATAAATAGTCTCGCTGCAAATTGTATTTAAATTATCATCAGTCTTGGGATCAGGTCCATTAAAAGTTTCTTTATTATTAGAATTACTGTTTAAATCCATGGTGAAACTCCTTCTCCTTTACCAAATTAGCACCAAAACACAAACAGAAACATAGAAATTATCACCACAAGAGTAAAATGTCAAAATAGAAAAACAAAACAAAAAGAGTTTCAATAAAATCAATACAAAAGAGATAGAGAGGAAACAATCACAGTTTCAAAAAGAACAAGAAAATGTTTGCTAAAGGTGAAAGATTATTCCTTAATAAATTAGGCTTAAATTGTAGAAATTAAATACAATCATCATCAGAAAAGATTAAGATTAAGAAATGGAATTAAAAAAAAATTCAAATGAAATAAAAGATGACAATTTCTCATTGATGGTTACAGAAAACAAACTATAAGGGTCACAGTAATTATACTCTTGTATTGTAGTTACACCAAACAGTTACTCAGTAAACAAATAAATTAGATTAACAATAAAACAATTAAATCTATTGGCCTAATCACGATTAAAATAAATAAATAAACAATTAGATGAAATGAAAACAACAATTTTTTTGGTTCAATATTTTGATGAAATCATAAGATCAAACTAGTAACACCCCCTGAAGAATTGGCGCCAAATTTGAATATGAATTTTATTCCAAATTGAAATTGATTCAAACAAATGTAAACTTTTTACATTTCAGGTAATCAAAATCCGACAGGTAGCTAATTCAGTTGTTATACCAGAATTTGAGAAATAACAAATCAATAGGATTTAAAGAGCATTATTTTTAAGATCATCAAGGTTCAAGTTGAGTTAATCTCTATTTCTAATTCATAGCTTTTTTCACTAAATTAACCAAAGGTGAATTTGAAAATATCAAACATTCGTTTTGATATGACAAAGTTTATCTGAAAAGTGTCCAGTGGACACTGTCCAGCGATCGCTAATTAAACACAAACATTTGTCTGGTTATTTTTTACAGACTCAAAAACTTTTCCTTTTTCTTTTTCTTTTTATTATTATTATTATATTTTTTGCTCGATCCTGGACAAACCGAGAAACAAAAACGACTTTTCCTCATCACATCTTATCTCTTCTTCTTCTTCTTCTTCTTCTTCTTCTTCTTCTTCTTCTTCTTCTTCTTCTTCTTCTTCTTCTTCTTCATGTGTTGACCTTTTGTTTGACCAGAGGTCAGCTGTAGATACACAGATATAAACACATATTACAAACTGCCCACTTGTTCATACAAAACAGTTAATCTTTTCTACTTGACCATAAAAAAGGAATAGAAAATTCAAAACAAAACCGTAACAATTTCAACGATTGGATTTTAGAAAATTATTTGCTTCGAGTCGATTTGTTAGTTGAAAATTGTCCTAATCATTAAAGGACGATAATTAATCTTACCAAAAATTTTTATTTTCATATTGTTTTAGTATTATCCTTGGTTGGTACATAAAAAAAGTGTTAATATCTTTAGACTGGCTTATAGTCCAATTTTGTTTCGAGTTTCTTATTATCGGATATTTTACGAACGGCTTTCATAAAGTCTTCTTCAATTACGTATTCTCTTTCAGCTCGAATAGCGAAAAGACCTGCTTCAGTACAAATATTTCTCAGATCAGCACCATTGAATCCATCGGACAATTTAACTATAGCTTCCCAATCAATATCACCATGTTTGGCTATTGGACGAGCATGAATTTTCATAATCTCTAATCGACCTTGTTCATTTGGAAGAGGTATTTCAATTTTACGATCCAATCTTCCGGGACGAAGTAAAGCTGGATCCAAGGTATCAGGTCGATTTGTGGCCATAATGATTTTAACTTGGCCTAAGGCATCGAAACCATCCATTTGATTCAATAATTCCATCAATGTTCTTTGAATTTCTCGATCAGCTGAAGTACCTTCACTGAATTATCAATTTGACAATTAATCAAATCACTAACAATATAATCAAGTAATTTTTTATGATCATATGAAATTTTATATAAGTTCCAATGGTCACAATAATTGTAAAGTAAAAACTATTACAATTTGATTTGTGTGTTAATTGCTGTCTAATCATTTGGTTGATTAATTTTGCTTTTTTAATGGTTCTGATAATTTGAATGGAATTGAAATTTACAATAACAATTAATAATATTAAAATGATTTGGTATCGTTTTTTTTTGTTGTTTATAATAATATTTAATTACAGATTGAGTAAAATAAACAATCAAGATGATTAATATATTTACAATTTAGTTTGATGGTAAAGGGAGGGAAGGAGAAACAATCAAGTTAATTAGCAATTTGGTCAGAAAAGGAAACAATTTAAATGATTAACTTTGTTTAGTTGATAATAATTGTTTTTAAAACTGTTTAATCAATGAGAGGCAATTAATTAATTAATTATCACTTTGAACTTTTTGTTTTCTTATTGATTGAAAAGTAAAATCATCTTTCGATGAAAGAAATTAAAAAGTAAACAAAGAAAATTAACTAATTGTTAACGATTAGTTAATTTCTTTCCCTTTTGATTCTAACTTTTTTTCAGCAGCAATTAATTGAGTTATACTTGTAACGGTATTTTCATTTGATGCAAAAGGTGAGTATCCATCTTGGGATGATGAGGATGAGGATGAAGATGAAGATGAGCCGATGTTGATTGAGACTCGATTCCCAGAATTATTAATATTATTATTGTTCTCGGAGATATTATTTGTTGGGGTGAATTCATTGTTAATTATTTCTACCTTTAATGTATTATCTTCATCTTCATCATCTTCAGCATTTTCCTCTTCCATTTCTTCAGTAACTGAATGAACTTTTGAACTTCGACGAGAAAGTTCAGATGAAGGTGAATCCATATCGATATTTGATCTGTTAATTGGTGTTATCGAGGTTGGAGGAAGCGGAGATTCACTGGTCAGTTTATTAACAGTAATTTGATCAACCGGTGAATCTGGTTGAATGGGTAAACTCAGATGACCAGGAAAATAAGGGTTAACCGTTTGGGTTTTAGGTCCAAATGATTGATTAAATCTTGAACTTTCTTTAGCTTCAATTGATGATAAACGATAACGAGATGATGAAGCTGAAGTGGACAAATCGTTGAGATCTTCGTCTTTCATTGATCTTATATCAATTGAACCTGAATCTTTACGAGAAATGGCCGGAGATGGACGATAGATAAGATTAGCACTTGGAGGTCCATGGGATAGATCATGAGAACCAGGAATGGATAATCCAGTTGAACTGTGAACACCACCTCGAACTCCAATATCACTATGGACAATTGGAAGACCAGCACGTGACGATTGATGTAAATTAACTGGAGTATCAGTTCCCCCACCACCTCCACCAGCACTTACACCACCTCTACTAGTCCTACCATCAACACCACCCACCATATCGTGCATGTTGATACAATTACGATTCATTGATTCAGCCAATGAAATGGTTCTGTTGCGCTTTTGTGGTGGAGTTTCAAGTAGAAAGGGTGGAAAAAGTGAAAGAAATCCTCCCTTTTCCCCATGAATTCCAGGCCTATTGGACGGACCTTTCGAAATATTGTCACACGATTGACCTATTCTCATATTAATCAGTCTAGATGGACGTAAATCAGGTAAGAATCGATTCCTGGATGAAACTTCTTCCCCATTAATAGCACCAGAGATTCTTCCACCTCTTCTTCCTCCTCCTTCATCTCCACCACCACCTTCACTTGCATCAATCTCAATGAGATTCGGTGATGCTGGAGTCGATGTGTACAACTGTTCATCATCCTCTTCCTCATCAATCGGTGGCATTGTCACAATTTCCACCTCTTCAGGATCAAGATTCAAATTCATAGCTGATCCCAAAAATGGTTGTCGCCTAAACGACAATGATGATTTTGTATGAGGTAAAATGGGCTTTGGATCATCCCAGAATTTATCTCGAGTCATTATCGGATTATTTGAATACATATTATCAACTATATGATAAGAGAGGACAGTATTTCTCTCAAGGCACCAATGAAGATCAAAATCGTCATCATCTTCACCATAACCGTTAATCAATTGTTCAGCAACTTTAAGCCAACCCATGAAGAAAAAAAATTCCAACACTGTGAAAACTGGAACATAAAGGTCAACCTCATGACCCTGATAACCTTTCGCAGGGTCAAGATATTGTCGGCCCATAAGAGTAGCCAAAAAATAAGTGTAAGTGGCAATGGTGACAGTTTGAGTATAAACCAGAGGAATTGATATCCAATCGTAAGCAAACATCATACCACAATATCCTCGTTGAATATGAAGTTCCTGTTAATCAACAATTAAATCACTGATTATTATTCAATTAGAAGGATAAAAAAAAAGTTAATCTCTATAAATGTTGATAGTTTTATCATCAAATGTCAATAGTATTACAATCAATATCTTTCAGAGTCTTGACTTGATGTTATTTTAATATTTAGCATCATGATGAAACTTTGACAAGCTATCAAATGAAATTTTCTGTTTCTTCATCAATTTTTTTTTCTTTCCCATGATATTAATATTATCCAAGTAGCCTGAATTCTGAAATAACTCAGATTCAGTGAGAGTCTCAATCAGATTACATTGAGAATTTGAGTTAAACTGTCATTCATGATGAAAGTCACGTTGAATTGATTTATTTACACAAATCAATTTCTAAATAATAGTTTATCAAACTGAGGCAATAATTTAGGTTACGAAACATTTTCTGTATCAATTATTGAAACTCGATAACAGCTGATCAATTTGAATATCACAATTGTAATTTCGAACATGAAATTAATATTTTTTCTATTGATTAATATTAGTTCATTATCGTTCTAAGGATCAAATTGGCAAAAGTTTTTAACCTTAGACTGAGAAATAAATATCAGTTATTATCAAATTCTGAGGAAACTCTTAAGTTATAACATTTGATTTCTTTGTTGATATATTTAGCTGAATATCTAAAGGAAAAATCAATTGATCATAATTTTCAACTTGGAAAGATGATGGTTAAGAATAAGAATATAATAGTTCAAAAGGTGATAAAAGAATCGAAAGTTCAGATCATAATTCTGATTAATGAACAGAATTGATGGTTGAGGTAAAATCCTCGATTTCAGTACATTAAATGAAATACTTATCAGTTTATTTGATCCTATTTCTATTGATTATCTGATTGAAATGTCAACCCATTAATAGATTTCACAAATTCAGAGATAAAAAAAGGTAATACCAAAGATCATGAAATAAAAGTATTAGTTTTTCATGAGATTTACCCTGGAAAATATCATATGACCAAGTAAATATGAGACGGAAAGTTTATCAATAAATTATCAGAGTAAACAATTTAGTAATCAATTAGCATTTATAAGGATCCAACGTTGATCATTATCTGATTACTGTTTAATCAGTAGAATAATTAAAATTGATTAACTAAAGTTTTATTGTAATAATAAGATGAACTTATTGATAAACAAATCAACAGGCAACTAATTTGCATGAAATCCTAAAAATACACTGAATCCTTGGGATAGAATTACAATTAAATATGAATAACTGAATTTATCCAGTCAGAACTTGAACAATTCAGAATTGTGAGTAATCAATATCAAATAGAAATGGTGAATTAATGAATGAAAAGGAAATTCGATAAATAGTAAATATAAAAGTTCTTATGTACTTTCGAGTTTACTTTCTCTGTCTTATCGTTCACCCAAACCTATGATGTGAATTCAGTGATTATCATCATGATGACCGGAAGTTATTTAATGATCATCAGGTTATCAAGAAGAAGATTAAATTCTGTTGATCAACTTACCTCTAGAATTTGATAAAGAAAAATATCATGTTTTATTCGACCTTCTTTTCGAGCCTTAATGGCCAAGGTAGAAAACCATTGAGCTGGAACCCACCATTTACCATGGTCACTTGGAACTCGTTCATAAACCTCACGTTCTTCCGGTGTAATAAAACCCGCATCTTCGATGTGATCTAATGTCGGGAATCGTTTAAAAATCGCAATCGAAACTGCCTGACAGGTAAACACTTGCATCAACAGTAAATATCGAGCAAGTGTCCGTCTTATCATTCGTCCTCGCTCATCGGTACCATGAATATGACCTGAGATCAGGATTAAGCTTCTAAAGTGAAAAAACTATCAATATTTCTGAGTAATTAACAATCTGAATCAATTAATATCAACTATTCAATCTCAATTTCAGCTAACCATGAATGATGAAATTAGTATTTAATTATTGATCATGATAATCTAATTACAATCTATTCATAGGGATGAATTTAATTTCAACAAATCAGATTGGAAATTAAATCAATTTTTTATTATTCTAAATCAGGATTATTATAATTTCACCAATTTAACATGATCATCTGATTGATTGTCATGTATTAATAATATTCGTGATGAAAACTCATCAAGAATACCAATTAATCTTGTCCACTGTTGATTATTGATTAGTTGATGATTAAGAATTGACAAATGATTTATATATGATTTTTACTATTAGTACATGAATAAGTTAAATCATTGATAATTAACTTTGATTGATTCTTGGATATTTATTAATATATATATTTCATTAGTAATCACAATTAAGGAAATCATTTAGCAATCAAAGTACCGGATGGAAACCTTTAGTTAATCATATTAACTAAAGAAATAGATTTAATCTCAATTGTATCTAAATTTCTTCAAGTGAAATCTATTAATTGTTGACAATTAACTTGATCATTAATGACAATTAACCATTTGGACTTGAAAAGGTCCAGTTAGAGTTACTATCGATACAAGAAAAACATAAGCAATTTCCTAAACACTAGACCAATACAACTTTCCAAATAAATTGTTTGTTTTCTTTTGCTTCTTAATTGTTAACAATTAGCTTGATTACTAACTTACTTATCAGGCCAGGGTATTTGCATATACTGTTGCCACCATCGTCCAACCACCAGAGTGACATAAAACCCAAGTACAAATGAGAGTGGGATATAATGTGTGAATGCCTCACAATATAAAGATAATTTTTCAAAAAGTCTAATCAAAAAAAAGAAACACAATTAGCAACAATTAAGCTACTATAATATCTGTTTCAATTAACTGATTAAGTAATACAACTGATTATTTACAATTTTTTTTTCTCACCAACAATTTACTGATTCTCATCTTGACTTTTAATAGTAACTGACATGACAACTTTTCTCTGAAGAATCAATGATTTACCAATAGATTGTATTAATATATTGATATCATTTTTATTCTTGTTGATTTAATTGATTGAATTAAGAGTAATACATGATAACAATTAATACTGAACAATTAAAGAGCAAATTGAAAGCATGAGCAGTTACCATGAATTTCTGCTAATCAATAGTAACATGTAAACGAAACTCAGCTGATTGATGAGAAAAGAGCAAAATGAGAAATCATTTAAACTGATAAAACAATGATTCTAATTTGATTAGTTGATAATAATTCACTTACGTTCTCTGAGAATCTGATAACAAATAACGATAAGTTCCACTAAGGCCATAATATGCAGCACAGAAAATTGCCATCTCTCGATAAAGAAGCTTATAAATTGATCCTTTCCACCTTAATAACAATCGACTAAATCCCGTTAATCTTGCATTCGCAACCGATAATGAGTATGTGATGGTCATGATTGTGATTAATCACTTGGAGATAATAATACAGAATAGACCAGAAAATAGTCCAGGAAAAAAAGGTTCACTGGGTAATCTTGTTGTTGACACAAAAAGTAAACAACAATTTAAAATGTTATCAAAATGTTTGATTGTTTATCAATCGTTAAATCAGTGATATTGAAATGATGAAGAAACTGGATTAATATTGAGAGAGAGAGAGAGAGAGAGAGAGAGAGAGAGAGAAAATGTCCAACTGAGTGATAACTGTTGGGTCACTTTGATCCAATTCTTTTAACCCAAAAATGTGACTTGACTGTTTTCAAGAACTTGGCTCGATCAGAATTTATGAATTCACACAGAATTTCAACTGATTAAGGAAAATTGTTGAAATGGATAATCACAGCATCGACCATCTTAATCATTGTGGATTGTTTATGTTCACTTGGACATTAATGTTTTCTTTTGATTTCATTTTGATTGAAGAAAACAGATAAAAATCATTACAGAGAAATGGAGAGCTGGTTATTTACTTGGAGGTGGTAGAAAAGGGAGAGTGGGTGGATTGAGGGAGTGGGAGGAAAAGAGGTGAAGGTTGGAGTGTTTATTTGTTGGTGGTTATCCTTGAATTGGATAAGATGAGCAGGTTAAAATTGAGAGAAATCATCAGATTAAGTCAAGATTATGATGTTTTCTCTGTTAACATGATGATAATTTTTTACTTATTCTTAAAGATGGAGACACTGTTTGAATAGTCTATTTGCCTTTTCAACATTTTCCATGTCCAATGCTTGGAATTATTTTATTTTTCTCTTTTGTTTTGTTTTCCATTTCAAAATAATATTCATCAATTAAGGTGAGAACTCAGAGAGTAGCATGGTGACATCTATTGGCATCGAATAAAATTAATTCCTCTTAATCAATCATCAACAATCAACAATCAAAATTGATCATTTTTTATAATCGATTCTCGTTAACAGATTATCCAACCAATCCAATGATTAACAATTTTAAATCCTAATCAGCTGATTAAACTTTGAGAAATTTAAGTTCCTAATGTTATAATGTAGCACCATTAGGACCTTCAATAGATTATCTTGGATTATGTAGATTAATTAATCTCTAGTTTATTATTATTAAAAAAATTGAAAGAAAAAAAAATTATCTGATAATATTAATTGATAATTCATATCTTTTTTTGATAATAACTAATTGATTTTTGGACAAAACTAATTGAGATTTTGAGATTTCCAATCAATGAAAAGATTCAATCAGTTCCATACTGTTCCAATCGATTCAGATTGTTAATTATTTCCATGAAAATAACATGATGAAATCTCATCTCATCTCAATCTAATTTATTAATTAGAGACAAAAATTGATAGTAACAATCAAAAGAATCAGAAAAAAGGTTCAAATGTAATAACCTGAATTCATTTGAATTGTTTGTGAGTACAGATTAAGATTATAATCAGTTGGATTAAGATGCAATCTAATCAGATGATTATCATCATCTATCAATTGTTGGTACTAATTGAATCAACTCGAATTGGTAATTTTATCTTGTTGATTAAATAATTTGATTACTTTCAAACCAGTTATTAAGATTAACTAATGTTTCCCTTTAAAAATTTTCAGGTTTAATTGTTGATAAAAACAATTTGCTGGTTCGCCAATGTGTTCAACAATCAGTATCAGCTAATCACAATTTAATTGCTCTACCAAATTTAACGTTGGCAATTTACAACAATCAACAACTAATGGATCCATTAGACAGTTTTGACCTAATTCTTGATTATTCTGGTAACTGGATTAACTTTCAATCAAATATAACACAAGTTCCAATGGTTAAAATCAGTGATTCTAGAAAAGTTAATTACTTAATCAACAACAACAACAACAACAATGTTTTAATTGCTCGATCACCAAATTACATGTTAACTAAATCATATCACACGATTGTTAATCATTACAATTTAACCAACTTGTTTATCTTACATGACATCAAATTAGGTAAGTAATTAATGATTTAATTATAATCATCACAATTTAGGTGATTTGATTAACTTAAACTTTGATTGAACCCAACAATTAATAGAATTGGATGAAAATGATTTCATTGTTAATCATTCAACTTACAAATTGGATTCTAAGCAAATTAACATGAAACAATCAACCAATTTAACCCTGACGATGAAAAAATTAAGACTAATTGGATTCGATAACTTTTTAATTATCGGTGAATCATCAACAATTAACAATCTACTCAACACGGTAAATGAACTTGATGATAATTGGATTAATTGTGAAATTATTATCTATCTAATCAACGTTACAATTAATTAAATTGTTCTCATTACAATCAAATTTAGATTCAACAATCAGATCTATTCAGAAAACCTTATACTTGGTACGTTTTAACAAAGGTAATGATTAAGTTTATGATCTAATCACATGGTAACAATTGAACTGATTAATTAATTTAATTACAGAGTATGAACAAAATTAGTTGTACTTTATGTAAACATGGACAGTTCATTAAGATTCAACCAACACAATCAAATCTTCACGAGTATGAATACAAATTGAATTTAACAACAATTAGATCAGAAAATTTGATCGATGCTTTTTATTATTATGATTTAACCAATTTAATAATTAAATCGTTGGCTAATTATTATCAAGTCCTTGGAGAAACTAAATCAACGTTGGTAAACAATGGGACACAATCAAAGGTATCACAATTTACCAATTCAATTGTGACAACAATTAACTCTGGCAATTTAATGGGACAATTTGGCGATTGGATAATCACTAATCAGCTTGGTGATAATTTAAAGATTAACAATATAATCTATCAATCACTTACAATGCAATTAACTTTGAACGATAAATTGTTCAATCAAATTGACTCAAAGGTAATTGGTTACATGGATTTAACTGAATCAATCGGAACAATTTATTTCTCCTCACTATCAACCAATTCAGATGAATCAATTTTAAAGATAATAACAATTCTGGTAAGAAATTAAATTAATCATCAAATTTTCACAATTAGATCAACTTTATTATCCATATATTGATATATTTGAATTCTGATAATAATGATTAGTAAATGTTGATGGCTATTTATCATCATCTTGTTGCCGGAAATGTGAGTTCCCCTTAGTTTCCGTTTCCTTTTTCTTGTCCCTTGAAACAATTTGTTTTTAAATAGTTGATTGTCTAATCATCAACTGATTAACTAAATTGCGTGGGTGTTGAAAAGTTTAAAGGTCACTCTTTTTTACTCTAATTCATTTGGATTAAAGCACGAAAACTTCATGAGCTGAATCAGAATCGATCAGAACTTTGAGTGTAAAGTGATTAAAAGAAGTAGAAAAGTTTTTTCTATTCAATTATTTTCTCCTTCCTTAATAATGATAATCGTTACTAATGTTTCCTAAAATCAATCGATATAAATTCAATACAATCACATGAACAATTAACTTATAAGGTGTTACCATATAACTAAGGACAAAATCATGTAGAACTTAATTGTTTACAATAATAACAGATAATCTATTAGATTATCTGTTAGCTCTTTAACTATTCAGGTAAAGACGAGATTGATTAATTGTTACATTTTCGTTAATCATCAGCATCCTCCATTTATCATGAGACGAGCTTCAAACTCACCAAGTAATAATAATAACGATAGTGATTATTATGGATTCCTGATTGACATTTTCAATGAAATGAAACATGATTATGGTTCAAAGTTTCCAGAATATCAGATAATTCAAGCAACCGAAGGTCAGTATGGGATAAGAGTTATTTCATCAGATTCTGATGAGGTTACATGGACAGGAGCAGCTAAAGATTTTCATTCTGTAAGTTTCAATTTAGATATTTAGTTAAATATTTACCTTGATGGAGAAAATTAAATTTCAAATTCAGAATGAAATTCATCTGAAACTTTACTATTAACCGTTATTGATTATCAAGAATGAAGCTGATTTCGGTTTAATTGCAATGACAATTACTGATGCTCGTCAATTGGCCATGGATTTTACTGAACCAATTTTTGATTTGGTAGGATTATCGGTAATGATTAAGAAACCAGTTCCACAGGATTTTACCTTTGTCTATGTCTATGTATTGGAAAATGATGTTTGGTATTGTGTTTTATGCTCTTATCTGTTAACATCTATCATTATGTCAATATTTGATTACTACAATCCAAAGGATAGGAAGAAGAAGATGAAAAGCTTAAAGGTGAACACTGAAGATCATCAGAATGATGCGAATCAAATTAATGGTATCGAAGGGATGAGAAAAGTTTCCAATAGGAAAATATTGAATCAATTTGATGGTAACAACCAAAGGGGTGGAATTCATGGTCAGTATCCTCCGGATGATGATGAAGATGGTGATGGTGATGGTGATGAGAATACTGTTGATGGAGAAGATGTAATTACTATTGGTGAAGAGGAAAGTAAAGGTGATATTAGAGGAGGGCAAAAGAATATGAAAGAAAATGTCACCAAATCAACTGGTTCGATCACCAATGAACGAATTTTCAATCTTAAAGAGACACTTTGGTTCTGTTTAATTTCGTTGACACCTCAAGGAGGTGGTGAAGCTCCTTCAGCGCTTTCATGTCGCTTGGTGGCCGCTACTTGGTGGCTTTTCGGTTTCATCCTGGTTGCCTCGTACACGGCTAATTTGGCTGCCTTTTTAACCGTTTCAAGGTTGGATAAAAATCTCGAGACTTTCGAGCAACTTTCTCGACAATATAAAGTCCGATATTCGGGAATCTCGAACTCATTTACCGATGAATATTTCACTTTACTCGCTCAAAATGAAGATCGTTACTACAAGTAAGTGTCCATTGAACTATTTTAATGCTCCCTTTAAAATATCACACAGACCAACAAGAGAAAAAGTTTATCCAATTTCATTCTGATTGAAAATTGATATGAAAATTCTGGTCAGTTGATTGAATAGACTTTGAACTTGAATTTCTCTTTGAATACTTATCTGGATAGCTAAAGATAAATATTCTAAATCATGATCAAATGAAAATCTATGAATAAATAAATCTAACAACATCTACGAAATCGTAAAAACAACCTGAGATCAAATTTCAATTGTTAACGATAATTTTACATGGAAAATTGAATCAGAGTATGAAATGAAAAGAGTAACGGTTAATAAGCTCAAGTAAATCTAACAAGAAGAGATTAATTGTTGATTAGATAAACAATAAAGTTACTTGTAATGTTAATCTTTTGAATAACTTGTCACTATTTTGTCAGCACAAAAAAACCTTGATAAACATTGAGATAAAGTTCTGATTGAATGATTATTACGTAGTTTACATGACGTTTGAAAAACTGAACAGAGCAGTTTGTAGATGCGTATTCAATGAATATTATCGGAATCATGGTGATTGTGATTATTATTATTATTATTCTGAAACTGATTCCTTCCAATTCCCTGTCTTTGTCTGTTACCATCAAGAAAAATAAGATTACCTTTATAACAGTAAATTAAGTTTACCTTTATTTTTTTTGCTCCTAACTCAATGAGATAAACGGATAAATATAATATCCAGCATTTCCATGGCTGATAACTTGTAATTGTATCATGAATATACTTTGATTTAAATCGATAACTTTTCCTCTCAAAAATGATAATCAAATGTTAATCATTCAAGGTGAAAACAATTGAAATTACCATGAGGGTAACAATGATTTTATTTTTATCACTTTCACCCTGAAATCTATTGTTTTCATGTTAAGAATCATCATCTCATGTATTACATGAAAAGATTCATAGTATTATTGTTGTTCAGTCTCAGAACTTGATGTAATTGATTTAAACGTTTCTAACCTTTAACAGGAAATTGGCAAAAGAAATTCTCAAACTGAATAACCATGTTATCGAAACTTTTTTCTGGTCTTACCCTGAAAATCTTATACATATAAATAAACTACATGGTAATTTCATCTAATTTATTTTTCTTTCCTCTCTCTCTCTCTCTGCTTTTTCATCAACAGTATTTGGAAAGATCTGTCACTTAATGATGTCATCTCTGAACATGAACGAGCTCAATTCGCTGTTTGGGATTATCCGGTTAGCGATCGATACACTAAGATTAGAGCTCAAATGGATGAACTTGATATTCCTAAGAGTTTCGAAGCTGCTTTAAGGAAAGTTCGAAATTCAAATAGTTCTAAGGAAGGTTATGCTCTCATTGGTAAGTTGATGGAAAAATGATCAGCTCATCTTTAAAAAGCTATCATCAAATTATCACAAGATAATCTTTATTCAATTATCTCTCTGAGAAAAGTTGATTCTTTCCATTTAAATATATATATGAAATTGTGTTCGAAACACAAGGTCGATAATTCAAGAATAATTCATGATGGAAATAAGTTCTTAAAGTCCGAAAAATTGATCCATTTATCATATTCGTAAATCAACATGATAATATTTGAGTGTCATTCTATTGAATTTTGATAAAACTCTGATGAATATTTTACACATTTAGGTGTATTAGAACATTTGAAAAAGTCGAAAATAGATTCTCGGGTGTGTAACAGTTTCTATCTTGAAATTTTTTGCTTCTTTTTATTATATTTCCCTTTGATTCTTATTCTCAATTTAAACTTGCTTCCTCTGAAAAAATGGTCGATATCATGAAAATATTATCATGAACCCCACCTACGCTATATCAAAGTTACAACATGGTAATCCAACATTTACCCTGCAGTTTATCATGATCAAGATCACTAACTGAGATAATGAATATCAACTAAACACGAATGAACTTTAAGAACTTACAAATTTAAATGTTTTCCTCTCGGTTTTTAGTTCAAATTTCATAGTTGATGAACAGAATCAATAATAGAAACATTTTTCTCAGAATTCATAATATCTTCATAGCGAAAATGTTATGAGTTCATATTGTTTATGTGATGATTGTCGACGATAATTAATAATTATCATGATAATGAAAATCAAAATGTACCAATTGTAATTGGAAACTTGAGCTTAATTAACGTTCGTTGGTTATATCATTTCATGAAAGATTAGTAGCTAACGAACAGTTTTAATTGATCTCTTTCGAAAGGGGAAAGACTATCAATGGAATGGGCTTCGTTATTATATTGTGACATTCGAGTTCTCGAGTCAACATTTGCATATCATCCGATTGCATTTCCAATATCTATGAAAGATCCATTCAACTTGAAACCTTCTTTCGATAAAACTTTGAAGAGATTGAAAAGTTCTGGTAAACTTGATGAGCTTCGATACAAATACTGGGAAGGAGGATCAGGGGTTCGAACTTGTCCCGATTATCGTAATCCCAATGGAATAAGTGTACGAAACACTTACGGAATATTCATGATTATCGGACTTGGATTATTCTTTTCTCTATTAACTCTTTCCATTGAGAATTTCGTCTACACTAAAGTGAAAATTTCACAAATTATCAAGACTCGAGACTCGATAAGTTCTGAAACCGATTCGACTGCAAATCTCTTGACCGGCTCAAAATCAATTTCGATCAAATTTCTAAACTGGCTAGTAAATTCTCATCAACGGTAATTCACCAAGAGACAAATAAGTTTCAAGTGCTCATCCAGATTCTGAATGAATATACACTCATGATTATCTCATATTATTCATCAATTCTCATTCAAAATATGAATCTAATAAATTCAATTTGACATTTAAAATAATCTATTGATTGTTAATCCTCTTATATTATCCTATTGGCCTTATCGATTTACCTTTTAATTTTAATAATGATACGATAATATGATTAAACTAATTTGAAAAGTGAAAAAAATATCAATAATAATAATAATCAAATGTTAATATCATTACATGTAATTCAAATTTTCAACTCTGTAACTTTTAATGTTCAGCTCATGGTAAAAGTTGATGATATTAAATTGTAATTACAAATTATGATGACAATTAAAACTTATCTACATTTAATATCAGTTATAAGGATAAAATAATTATATAAAATTTAATTTTTAAAATCTTCCATCATGTGCATACTCAGAACTTGATAATATCATATAATTAGTTTCATTATGTATTCACATTGATAAGTTACTTACTGATTAGCTACAATTTAGATGAACAGGAGATTTAATTGAAAGACGATTTTGAATTGACTCACTAATCAATTGAGTAGTTATAAAAGTCTTCTCTGGCCCTTTTTCCTCTTTCTTTTCTCTTTCTTTTTAAACGAAATTTCTACCACTTTACCTCTTTCTTTTTCTCTTTCTTTTTCTCTTTCTTTTCTCTTTCTTTTCTCTTTTCTATTTAGTTAAAGGTCACAACCCATGTCAAAAGTTATAAATTCATTATATATATTTATCCATCATTTCCTTTTCTATTATATAAAGGATTGGATGTTTGAATCATTAACACATAATGTATTCTGTTTATTTAAAACACCCTTTTACCATGGTGGTCAGTGGACCAACTGGTTGTGGTAAAACATTTTGGGTACAACAACTTATCAAAAACGCTCTATTCGCTTCTCATCCATCACCACAACATATTTATTACTTATATGGAGAATACCAACCAACATTCGCTAGTATAGTTGGGGTAACATTCATTAAAGGCTTACAAGATAACCTTTTAGAAAACCTTAACCCTGATAATAATCCAATTTGGGTGATAATAGACGATTTAATGGACGAATCATCAAAAAGTCAATTAATCAGTCAACTTTTCACCAAAGGATCTCATCATCAAAACATATCAGTTATTCTCCTTGTCCAAAACTTTTTCAATAGAGGCAAGGAGATGAGAACTATAACCTTAAACGCTCATTATATAGTCATGTTTAAAAACCCACGTGATAAAACAATTATTCAACATCTAGCTCGTCAGATGTTTCCGAACAAAGTTAAATCATTTGTTCAAGTGTTTGAAAAAGTAACAGAAAAGCCCTACTCATACTTGTTTATTGATTGTAAACCTGATACAATTGAACAGTTGAGATTGTTATCAAATATTTGGTCCTCTCCTATTGATGTTTACCTTATATAAAGTCAACAAGCTTAACAACATTACAATAAATCACCAAGATGGAAGTCTATCTTTCAAACTATTCAAAAATATTGAATAAAATTGAATATAAAATTCATCTTGTTGGTAAAATCAAAGCAGGAGAAATGGAACTTCAAGTCGTGATAGAAACTTATTCGACTGAAACCCATTCACCTCACAATTCAAAAGTTTCATAAAAATCCCATTCAAAGTGTTCAATAAAGTCCGAACGTTTCTTCTAGATCATTATCAAGAAAAGATTGGAGACATCGAACATCAATTTCATAGAAATGGTGTATTATCATTCTCACACAAAAATATCAATTATATTTGGACGGCTGATCTACAATCCGTTGTCATGAGCAGAGACATTGATGATAAATTCATGAAAGCCTTACGAAAGTGTAACCACCCTTTCAGAGGTGTTCATAAAGAGAATGTTACTATATGGAATGATAAAATTACTGACCGTAAAGATTTGGGGACTACAAATATACCTGTTGAGAAATTTACAACCTCTAATGGTGATGAATTTTCAATATTTGTCAATACAGCCACTTCAACTGAAGAAGATAGGTGGTATATAAAAATTGAAATACGACTGATAACAAAAAGCCAAAATCCTGGTGGGAGTATTAAAGTTCATCCGATCGACTTTTTAGCCTTGAGAGACTACTTCATTCAATATAAAAAAGAACCCAGTTCTTTAGCTCCATTTTCCACACCAACTGGAAAAGCAGCCATTATTGTTGTCGACGAAAAACAAAAACTGATTGTGGATTTTGATGGTCAAATCTTGACTTTTGATGAAGAAACAATAAATCTAATAACTAAAGGTGATTATATGTACAAGTTGGACCACCTTTTCTCAGAACTTAACCACGAATTGACTCCACAACCAATCTATAGATGGTGGTTCAATAATGGAGTATTCATAACTGACAATATTATATATCAAAGTTCATTAATATAAAGTCAATCAACTTCCATAAATTCAATCAATATGACAATTGAAGGTGTCATCAGGTGTTTACCTGAACTTTCAAGGATAGCAAACGCTAAATCATTAAACGAACAACGATCTTTAATTTTAAACTCACCAACTTGTATAATTTACGCAATCAGTGAAATCTGTCGAAACATTTTAAACGGTACAATACACCTTTCAGAAACTGAAAAGGCCATTCTTACAAAGTACAAGAGCTCTCTTAGAGATTTAGCCCAAAAACAAGTAAATCTTGATAAAAGAAAAAAGAAAATAAATCAAATCGGAGGTGCACTTCCGGCTTTATTAATACCCGCTATAACATTACTTGGAACTATTATTGCCAACAAAATATGAACGCTTACACGAAAATGATACTTATTCCAGAAGATGAGTACAACAAGCTCAAGTCATCCACAAGAGATAAAATATCCTACATTTTGGACAGACCTTTACCACCTCAAATGATTGAAAATCAAGTCAATCGTCACTTAGATAGCCAACAATCTATGACACCACTTATCACACAACCAATCACACAAATAACACCCAGCGACTCAATTGATGAATACAAGGACTTTGACTCAGCAGATTTTTCATGGGATCCAGCTGTAATAGGTGTAACTCCTAAACGTCCACCTATTCTTCAACAATTGAAGGACAAATACACCCCAAGAGGAAGAGTTATCAACTCAAGTCAAAAACCAATTCCAGGGTCTAATATTAATACTGTGATGCAGTATCTAGAAAGTGATGATGTCGGACAGGCCCTTCTGGCTATAAAACTATCGCTCGCCTTACAAAATATTGGTGAAGCTGTTGTTGTTAATCCAAAAGGTAGAAGCAATGACTCCAAGTGAGGCGTTGAAAGAACTTTTACATAAAGCTGAAGAAAGACAAAAAACTAGATTCCAAAGTGGAAAAGGATGGAGCTCAATAAAGAAATTTTAGATTCAATCTATTATAATCCTAGCCAAGCCGCTAGTTTTAGCTCTCCTAGACAATTATACCTTGAAGCAAAAAAATACAACAATAAAATTACTCAAAAACAAGTAAATGATTGGCTTAAATCATCTGAAACTTATCAATTATTTAAACAAACTAGAAGAAACTTTCCGAGATTGAAAACACTAACAATTGAAATCGATGAACAGTGGCAAGCTGACCTTCTCGATGTATCTTGGTTCGCTAAATTCAACGAACAAGTTCGTTATCTTTTGGTTGTTATTGATATATTTAGCCGGTACGCCTGGGTTAAACCATTAAAAGATAAAAGTAGTCAGTCCGTTACAATGGCAATGAGAAAGATTCTCAGAGCGGGAAGAGTTCCTCAAAAGCTTCAAACAGATCAAGGAAAAGAGTTTAAAAACTTTTTATTTAAAAATCTAATGAATGAGTTTAAAATAAACTTTTTCACAACCACAGATGACGCAGTTAAATGTGCAGTTGTTGAAAGGTTCAACAGAACTTTACGTAGTAGGATGAATCGTTTCATGTATTTTAAAGGTAATTTTAGGTATTTAGATAATCTACAAGAAATTGTTGATGGATATAACAAAAGTTATCATCGTATCATCAAATCATCACCAAATGATGTGAAAGAAGATAACCAAGCCTCAATTATTCTAAACCAACTAGAAAAACATGAGAAAAATGTAAAAGACAAATTTACTAATAAGGAATTTGTTAGAATAGCGAAAAAGAAGAAAATTTTTGAGAAAGGGACCACTTCTAATTGGACAAATGAAATTTTCAGGATAGTGAGTCGTAAAAAAACTCCCACGACGTATATATATAAGCTTCAAGATATTGAAGGTAATGATATAACATCAATATTTTACCCTGATGAACTAAGTGCAGTAGATTATATAAAGAAACCTGAGATTGATATTAAAATAATTAAAAAAAGAGGACGCCCTCCAAATGTCAAACGTAAACCAGGTAGACCACGTAAAAATGAACAACAACAACAAATTAAAAGAAAACCTGGCCGTCCTCCAAAGCTCAGACCAACCGAGTCAACTCGCGGAAAAGCTGGTCGTCCCCCCAAAACAAGACAAACAGATGATCAAGTCAAAAGAAAACCTGGACGCCCAAGAAAAAGAGGTGTTCCATCCAGAAAATAAGTTTCAATTGGTACTACTTTCTTCTGAAGACTCGGATGGAGACGCTAGTTTCTTTACAAACAATTTAAATAGACCAATCAAACTTGATGGTGATTGGACAGTTGAGTTGAGTGATATCATCATACCATGTGTTGATGATGATGATGATTATGAAAATGAGCGAATAATTTTAGCTACTACTGACTGTACAAACGCTGAGAATAATGGTGACGTCATAGCCATTTTCAATAACTATTCTACATGGATTCCTACTCCCATTCCAATTAGACAAAGGGTCAATACTCAATTTCTGGATCATGTATCATTGAGAATACAATACATTGATGGAAGAGCCATTAAAATACCAAAGAATGAGATGGCAGTCTTAACATTTATCAAGTTGGAAAAAAGTAAAAAAACCAACTGGAGGTTCAAAAGTAAATCAACGTTCCGTCAAATAATAAGCTGTCTATTGACACTAACAATGAGCCTTCCTCAATTAAAAACCATCTTTCTTAATCTTTGAAACAATATAAAGACTTTATCAATAAATAAATTTATACAAAAAATGGATTCCTTTAATGACTCAATTCAAATTGACCTAGTATCAAACGCTAGTTTAAATACTTATCCTTCCAATACTTTATCTTCATTTACTAATGATTTACATAAGCCAATCAGACTTGAAGGTGAGTGGGAAGTAGCTCTTATCGAGATTTTTCATCCAACGTCAATTGAAAATGACCAAAATAAAATAGTCCACATATCAATAACACGTGATATTGGTGGTTTAGTTAGAAC